CGGGTTTTGCCCACCAGGGTGCTGTCCAGGTCACGGTGAGTGAGCAGCGGAGGATCCTGGGTCAGAGAAGAGGCAGCTCCTCGGGCTCAGATACCGCCTCACTGCTCCGGGCTGGATCCTGGGGAAGCCACTTCACCAGCCTGAGCTCCAACCCCCTGGGATTGCTATAAGGAAGGGCTAAAGGAGACGTAAATATGCTTAGTGCTTTTTATTCTTAAAAAAAAAGTTTTTTTTTACTTGTTGATGGGACTTTATTTTATTTATTTACTTATATGTGGTGCTGAGAATCGAACCCACTGCCTCACACGTGCTGGGCAAGGGCTCTACCACTGAGCCACAGCCCAGCCCAGCACTTCTTATTCTTGACCATGGGCACTACTTTAAAAAATTAGGTGTGAAGAAATGATTATAAATGTTCCTAAATGTTTATTGTCTAGAATTTTTATCTGAGTGTTTAAAATTATAAAAATGAAGACACAATGAATATAAAAGAAGATTGGAACATGACCTATTTATAAGATGAAATAATTTGCAAGGGTCAAAATAATAGTGGAAAAAAATTATTCAATGACATGAGAAAATATTCTTTATACATTGAGTTAAATTTAAAAAAATTAAATTGCAAAACAAATCTAAAATAATAAATAAAGTAATAAATAAATAATAAATATATAAAACATGATAATAATAAATAAATGATAAATAAATATATAAAACATGATAATAATAAATAATAAATACATACTAATACATAAAATGATAAATCTTGTCAGTCTTTCATTTATTCACACGATTCACATGCTGGAAAAAAATTACAGGAAGGAAAAATAGCTCTCACCTGCCCCCTCCCCAGAGGCCCTCACGTCCTCTCTTCCCACTGGGACTCCTGCYGGTCATCTCCAGACTTCTTTCTCCTCGCTCTCTGGCTCCCTCCCTCTCTTACTTCACACTGGAGACTCAACCCAGGGCCTCCTGCATGCTGGGCAAGCACTCCCCCTGGGCTGCATCCCAGGACTTCTGCTCACTTTTTCAATTTGTGAAAATGGAGTCGATAGTGCCTAATACTGTGGCCCAGTTTGTTCCTCATTTTTACCGGTGCCTTGTAGTTGGTGGCACTATYATGGTCGGGTCTGCTGTTGCATRTTCSTCCCRCACACAATCCAACAGTAGGAATTGGCCAGTATCCCTCCCCAGCACTTCCTTATTCCATTTTGAGACAGGGTCTCCCGAAGTGGCCCAGGCTGGCTTTGAACTTGTGATCCCCTGCCGCGGCCTCCTACTTCAACCTGGCTGGCTGCTGTTACAGGCTGGACCTGTGGCTGGACTTGGGCCCAGTAGGTATTGGCATTGATATGACTCTCTGGGATGTCCAGGGAGCTGAGCCTGATCCTAGCTCCACAGTACAAAACTGGGGAACTGCCTTGGCCTGGAGACGCCGAGGTGTGGAAGGGGCTCTGCTCTCTACAAGAGCTTATGTGCCCTGCCCGGGAGGCAGCTCCGCGCACTGCTCGAGGTGCSTGGGAATAGCGCTTCTCCAGCTTTGCACCTGTGCGTGGGAAAATCAGGCTGAGAACGGGCTACGAGAGTCCCACTCACCCTGGGTCACTGTCTATACCATCCTCGGCTCGGTGGAGACAGACTCTGGACTTTGTCTGCCTGGGGAGCTGCCCATCTCTCTCCACGCGCTCACCTCCTCCTGCCTGTCCTGGGTAAACCACGGCGGTCTCCTCGTTGCGGGGACACGGTGCCAGCCCAGGGGATGAGCARTGCCGGGCAGGGCTGAGCCTGGTGCTGGTTCCCCCACCTCAGCTCCCACCTCTGTCGGGTGGATTCTCTACACACAGCCAGGTTAAGACACAAGAAGACCAAGCGGCTTTCCTGCTGCACAYGCTCCACCGTATCCTATCATGGGAGGAAATCCCGCCCCTCTGTGGTGCCTGGTCAGCCTTGCCTGGCCGAGCACGTCCGTGCCCCTCTCTCGAGACTCGCTGGGCTCCTGCTGGTCCTTCCTGGCACAACCTAGGCCTCGCACATGTGGGTCCTGTCTTGGCAGTCCTCCTCATTGTTCCTTGATGAGCTCCCAGCTCCAGCTCCTTGTCCCTTAGTGTGTCCACTAGTACTGTGAGGGCCTTAGTACTGTTGTCCACTAGTACTGTGTCTTAGTACTGTGTGTCCGCTAGTACTGTATCTTAGTACTGTGTGTCCACTAGTACTGTGAGTGTCTTAGTATGGTGTGTCCACTAGTACTGTGTGTACCTTAGTACTGTGTGTCCATTAGTACTGTGTCTTAGTATGGTGTGTCCACTAGTACTGTGAGTGCATTAGTTCTGTGTGTCCACTAGTACTGTGAGTGCATTAGTACGGTGTGTCCACTAGTACTGTGAGTGCATTAGTACGGTGTGTCCACTAGTACTGTGAGTGCATTAGTACAGTGTGTCCACTAGTACTGTGAGTGCCTTAGTACTGTGTATCCACTAGTATTGTGTGTCCACTAGTACTGTGTGACCACTAGTATTATGTGTCCACTAGGACTGTGAGTGCCTTAGTACTGTGTGTCCACTAGTACTGTGAGTGCCTTAGTACTGTGTGACCACTAGTATTGTGTGTCCACTAGTACTGTGAGTGCCTTAGTACTGTGTGTCCACTAGGACTGTGAGTGCCTTAGTACTGTGTGTCCACTAG